AAGAAAGAAATGTAAGCAAAACTGCATACTTTTCAATTTACCTGCTATTAAAAGAATTATCTTACAATGCCTGAAAAATATTTTAAATTCAAAGACCTAAACAATTGCAAATTTCTGCTTCACAAGAAGGGTTCGGGTGTTTGCATCAGCAATCCGTTAACATAAGTGAATCTAAAACCCTAATCCTGCTGGTATGTGCCCAGGCACCAATCTATAGAATCAGTAACTTCCAGTTCGAAAAAGGATTATTACCTGATTTAACACAAACAACACGATCAAGAAGCTGTTTTGTTGCAATGAGGTGAGCTTCTGGATCAAGAAGCCTCCACATTTCTAATGCATAATCTCTTTCAGCCATCGTACACACATAAACTTCAAATCGCTTACGACCCCTAGCAATCAAATAGCTTCTTAATTCTTCCCATGCAGGACGTAACCTCACAAGAACACTGGTATCACGAATCTGCAATGAAAATATGACTTTAAAATGATAGAAGATCCCCTAGGTCATTACAATAGGCCAACAGGCTCATCCCAGTCATTATCTCTGTGAATCCATATCAAAAACAGGTTTGTAAGTCACCACAACATCATACGCTTCATTGAAAAGGAAAGATTATGTCTTCATGTTCTTCATATTATTTAAGTTAGGTTGCGATGGTTAAGGTCGAAACATATAAACGTTTTTCTATTCCAAAAGAGAAAATAAGTTGATAAATAAAGACAAACCAGGCTATGGACTCGTATAGTTCTTCTAACCGTTTGGAGATTTAAGTTGGAAGTGTATTCTATTCAGCTTGCTTCCAAGATAACTATTCATTATTTTAGACTCAAAATTTCTCGGTTCTATTCTTCTCTCATTAAATTGGTAAATCGAGATGCAAAGCACAAAATGAATCCAAGACTAATAATAAGGTCTATAAAAAGGGAGGAAAAGGAAAACAATAACAACAATAGATAAAAATTATTGACGCAACACCAGTAAATAAATAGCATCAGAATTAGAGACAACCTCTGGGTTGATTCGAGTAAGGACAATATTCTTGTCCTGCAATCTAATTATAGGACGAACTACTTTCTCGCAGTTGCCATTTAGTGGAGGAACCTCCTCCAGCTGCACCTTGAAAATCCTTCCATTATCATTTACTGTATCGTGCTCAATATACTGTTTCAACAGCGACCGATCATCCATGTACCGCTTGAGTTCAGCAGACATTCCAGATATACGCAATGGATCTGTCTCTCGCCCAATCCAAAGTCGAAGAGCTTCAATTCTATCCTCAAAAGATTTCATAGTGTTTGCCACAATAAGTGTCTCGTCTAGATCAAAAACAATTGAAAGACACCTGAGATTTAGCATTCCTAGACAGGATAGATATAGGCCGCAGGGCACCGCAAAACACCAAAAGCACGGAAAGTTCTTTTGCTTGCTCGGCATTGCAACCAGGTGAATTTCCTCGTCCCCAATCAACACAATTGCCGTCTGTGAGTTTGGATAAGAACATCAAGATCCAAATCACAGACTAACTTCACAATATAGTCTCACTTGAATACGTTTTGTACACTCCAAAGTCAGAGTGAATTTTTCATCATTAAAATAATTAACACAGCTGAACATCAGTATCCATATCACACATGCACAAAAACACGTACATTGTCTCTCATAACAAAACAAAACATTCCAAAAGAAAAGAAAAGAATTAAGAAAATGACTAAGACCTTCAATTCATGGAAGCAGGAGTAGTGAAGCTGGATCAAGTGCGGCTGCTCAACAGGCAAGGAAGATTGTAGCTTAGACCTGAGAGAAAATGAAGAAATTGTCTGAAGAACTGAAAGGGGAGGACATCTCTCACTGGGCGGCGATATGCGGTGGATTCTAATCTCGTTGTTCGGAAACTGAAAATTCTGGTCTGTCGCCGGAATAGCGTCGAGTTCCCCAAGACGCACGTCGCCGTGAAAGACCACCGATTTGAACCCTAAGCGGCTCATTAGGAACAAATTATGGAAAACGTGAAAAGAAATCACAAAGAGCAGAGAGAAAGAGGAAGAGAAAACAGGGGCAAAGTGTGCGAACTTATTCGACAGAGCAGTTGAATGAATATGGCGTCTCTCTATCTCTCTCTCTCTCTATCCTGATTCTCCTCTTCCTATTCCTCTTCTCGTCAGTCTCTCTCTCTCTCTCTCAGCCCCACCACCACTCTCTCCTCCGCTCTCTCTCTCTCTATTCTCCCAATTTCCCCTCCTTTATGGCCTCAGGCCTTTGGTTTCAAACAAATGAAATAAGAGTAATGGGTTCGTATTTATAGGCGTCAAGGTCCAGCTCCTATTTATATGCTGTTAGCAAAGGTATGAAATTACGGGAATGACTACCCTTGCCTCCCTTCTCCAACCCGGCCCGTAATTCTATTATAATAAATTAAAATCTTAAATTAATGAAAATACATTTTAAAATATCTTTAAATTTAAAAAGTCTTAAAAAAAATATTAAATACTTGGTCATTCTCTCAAAAAAAAAAAAAAATCTTTAAAAATGTATTTGAATTTTCAAAAGTTGCATTAATAATACCCTTTATTCGATTATGAAAGTCACACATCCGCTAATTTAGGAAATAATCATAGTTTATAAACTAAGGAATAATATCTTCGTTGGTCTAAGGCCTTTTGGAAAGCCCAAAACAAACCCACGAGAGCTTATTCTCAAAACAGATAATATCATACAATTGTGGAAAGTCTTGTTCGTCTCACACCCTTAAACTTTTTAAAATAACTTTAAAAATACTTTTACTGTTAGCACCACGTTTCACAAATACGCATGAAATTCAAAAGTAACATTAGTAAGTTTTGAGATAATGAATGGTACATTGACGATAAGAATTTTTTGAATTTTTTTTATAAACGTAAAAGTGTCAATGCTGCTTTTAAAGTTTAATCGAAAGTTTAGTAGTATTTTCTTTTTGTTATTTATTCTAAAAAATTATTTTTTAAGGGATAACATTACTTTTAATCGTTCATAAATGTTTCAAAACTATGATTGAAATGAAAATTTACTGCTGTTTTTAGATAAAATTATGATCTAAAACAGGTGTAGTGTGTTCCAGTCTTTAAATTTGTACTTTTTAAGAATAGTTTTGAAATTTGTAAAGCAAATTTTTAACTTCTAAGATATTTTTTAAACAAACGACAAAGTTTAAGAGTACTTACTCAATTTTCGTCTTTTTATCAATGTAGAGCTAATATAGGGAAAGACGTGAACCTCTTGCCATAACGAAAACGTGAATATCTTAATTGACAGTTATGTTCGTGTTCGGTCTCTAAACTAGATTAGAACCCTAATCCTATTGGTTTCTACACCATTCATTTGTTCAAAAAAAAAATATGTTTTAAAAATTTATTATACAACACCCAAAATTAACCAACAAAAAAAAAATAATAATTATTGAGGTAAAATTACCATTTTGATTTTTTTTTATTTCTCTTATTTTAATTTTTTATTATATATATATATATATTGTAGTTTGGCAATATGTTTAAGCATTCTTCCAAATTAGTATTTATAGGTTTAAAATATTAAATTCTATTTGTTTTGAATTGATCAATGTTCTTCAATAGTTTTTTTTTTTTTTTTTTTTTTGGTGGTTACCATATTCAAAATGTATTTTTATTTTTTAATTTAAAGATATTATTGACATTTTTAAATTAAAATATATTTTTATTTTTATTTTTAAAATTAAAAATATTATTGAAATTTAAAAGAGAGAGAGAGAGAGAGAGAGAGAGAGAGAGATTAAGCCTCGAGTCCTTTTCCATTTCTTACACTGATGAACAGAAACGGTCAGCAAGTTGCAGAGAAACATTCACGCGGAATGATTGATCGACTGTTGACTGTCGTCGGAGGGAGAAACAGAATACGCAAACGCCATGTCAACTTCGCCGGAACGCCTCCTTTCTCCTTTCGATGACGGCTCCAGCGGATTCGAACGTCGCCTTTGTCTCAATGATTCAAATTCTTTTCTACCTTCGAAGACGAGTCTGCCGTCGCCGACTCGTCACCGATCTTCGTCAACCAGCCGTTAACCAGGGAGACGACCTGCTGCCGACTTCGCATTCGAATTTCTCGGCCGATGGGGGAATCTCTAGTTTCTCACCGGAGCAGAACGGGAAGGGCTTTGATGGAGATTTTGGCGAATCGGACGGCCCGATCCTTTAATCTCGATGGTGGTGGAGCCGGAGGAAGAATTTCCTTTGAGAGAGGTAGGATTGTTAACACAAGTTTTTGAGATCTGAAATGAATGTTGTGGTGACTAAGAATGGTATGCCAGTGTTTGAGTCACCTACACACTTTTATAAGAAATAATTAGTTCTCCTCTCCAAACGAGTGAGATCTCACAATCTACTCGCCTTGGAGGCCAACATACTCGCTAGCACACCACCTTGTGTCAAGTTCTAATATCGTTTGTACTAGCTCACCACTGACAATTATTATCCGTTTTTATCGGTTACATATCACTGTCGGTCTCACAGTTTTAAATCACGTATGTCGGGGAAAGGTTTCCACGTTTCCACGTTTCCACACCCTTGCAAGAAATTCTTTGTTCCCCTCTTCAGCGAACACGGGATCTCACAATAATATTCCTCGTTCACTCTTCACAAATCTGACCAGATTTGAACTTAATATGACAGCAATATCTAGCAAACCGAGACAAGTTCCATGCTGAAGCTGAGAAGAAGTATTGGAAGACAATTGCAGAACTAATCCCCAATGAGGTTCCAACCATTGAACAAAGGGGGTAAGCAAGACAAGGAGAAGATGCCTGCTACTGTTGTTCTTCAGGTTCTGAAGCCCGGGAAGCCAACCGATCTCTCGAGAACGCGTCAAATACAATACTACCCCTCTTCATAGAGTTTGAGTGTGTTTGATCATCATATTTTATGTTGTTTTCGAATTTGGATCGAAGAATTTGTTGTTTTTCTCAAGAGCTTTGATCTTAAGGCAAAACTACGATGAATTAGTTTTAGCCTTTGCACTTTTTCTTTCAAGTTTAGCCAAAAGAGCTTCTTGATCCTAATTTGCAAGTCATATCTTAGAGTTACATGCCAAGAACATTCAAGCAAGATTGATAATCCTATCTTCATGGAGATTCGAATCTTTGGCCAAGAAACTTGTTTTTTGTTTCGAGAGCTTTGACCTTATCTATGTCGAACCTAATTCTTCCGGTTGAAATCGAATTGCGAATTAGGGTTCATATATTCAAAGGGTTCCAACTCCTATTCACTGAGGTTTTCAAATCACTCGTAATGTTTACATTGCTAGCTAGCCAGAAGAGAAGGAACTCCCTAGGACGATAATATCTCCATGGCAAGGTCATTATCTTCGGTCTCACTGCCATCTAGACGAATGGAACTACTCCATACGCTTGGTGCAGACTTGCCATTGCTGCTAGTAGCAAGGGGAGAGTCTGAAATTCCGATCGTTCCAACTTTTGCAGACCTTGAATTGCCATTGTCCATGGAGGAAGACTGAGCTTTTGTATTCACTGGCCGTACTTTACTCGAAATGCTTCGTGTTATATCCTGTATAAGAAAAAGAGTTCACGTCGAATTACAGATCACAGGATTGAATGAGTCATTGTAATCAAGTACTGGTTGCATATGATTAAGCTTAAGAACAATGGGATGGCTACTTTTGGATTGAAATTAAGCAGGAAGTATGGTTCGTATTTGTAAAGATCATGTTTATCTAATGTAATATTGAATATATGAAGGAAATGGAAGAAAGAGGGGGATGCATACCATGTGCCTCATTGCCATATCCAGTGATTTGTTTGAAAGTGTCCTTCCGAAGCCAGAGATGTCAGCAGAGGACTTGCTGGTGGGATCACCGCTGCTCGGGCGGTAGTCGTCTTGCTTTGGACGGGCAAGCTTTCTCATGTTGACTACCCTTTCAACCATCTTTGTCCCCATGACCACAGGGCTAACCTCATTATCATCAGAGGAACGTATTCTTTGCTTGAATGGAAATACTTTACCACTGTTTGAGCCAAGTTGCTTCGTAGGAGAGCTTGGTTTCTGCCTAGTTTTCCCATTAGACATAGTCCTGCCGGATAATGATTTAGCACTACTCACTGCTACAGGCCTTCCCTTGGTGGCTGAAGCTGGCCCAGCTTCATCAAGTGAAAAATTTGGCACCTCAGAGGGCTTTGAAGGTCTGGTTTTAATGGATGGAAAGGGCCCCCGAGAAGGTCTTGGATTACTAGAACTTCTAGCATTAAACTTCGAGGTCGAAGATGATCGACCATTGGGATGTGATACACTAGACGAACATGTTGGCTTTGATGGACAGCAATTAGGCGTTGCTGATCTAGATGTTTGCTTTGTAGTTCCCATGGATCTTTCAGTTGGTGTTGATGACCGAGCAGTGGTTTTTGCAGGCGTTGAAGACCTCACCAGAGGCGCTGAAGCTTTAGCGTTGACTCGTGAAGTTAGCGTGGATGATCTTGAAGGCTTTGTACTTTTAGTTAATGTTGGCCGTGAAGTTGGTGTCGCAGATCTGGAGGCAGTAGCTGCAGAAGCCTTTGATGATGTTTTTTTATTGCTAGCACATGAAGAATTCAGTTGTCCAGATTGAAAATTCGGATGCTTGGATGCTATATTACTCATTGAGTTAGACTCTTCCTGGATGTTTACTAGCTGCAACCAAAAAGAGTGTAAAGCTGTAAGGTAAGCAAATTGGGAAAATTGAGATTGAACAACTGCAAATTCTACAGTTTTGATTATCCAAAAGAAAGGTCTTTTGGAATCTGATTTCCCTACCATCCACATGCATTGATAAGTATTCGTTTTGCAGCAATTCAGTTGGTTTGTCAAATTTCTTGACAGTTCTTACCTTAGGTTTCAGAGCAGTGGAACGAGAATTCAGCATATCATTCCTATTTGTTGCATTTTTCTGTGATTCTGTCTCCATTGATGGAAAGATTGAGGTCCCAGGTGGTGTGAGGAGCCTGAGAAACAGAAGAGAATGCAATGAATGGCTAATTTGATAACAACGAAACAATTAAAAGCATCATAATTCAAATATATACCATACCCACAACTGCATTCCATTATCCCATGAAAATCTTTCATAATGTTCGAGGGAAGTACGAAGAACACTACATGTGAATAATAAAGGCAGAGGTAACAGAGCTCTGTTTTATTCTCCAAAAAAAAGAAGAAATGGGAATGATAACGCTGACGAAGACGACGTATCAGAACCACATGTAGAAGAAGAAAACAATAACAGGCGCATTATTTAGGTTCGAGAAGGACCAGAAAACTCGGTGAGGTTTTACTGTTTACATCCTAATGCTTAATGAATTCTTGAAGTTATTTGAAAAAGGCATCCATTGATGAAAAACATTCGACCCTACTGTACCAATCAATGCTACTCCTAAATTGGATATTATATGCTTCGTATTTAAATTTCATTTACAACAAATGGAAAAGGAAAGCTAATTCATCACTGAGACATGAAATCGGTGTGAATGTAATTTACTTACCAGTCATAATCAGATTTTTCATTTTCTGAATCCATAAAATCCTCCGTTTTGATCTTCCGCGGTGGAACAGGTGAAACAAAATTCTTGGAGATGGGAGAACATTCACCATCATTATTAGGTTCTGCAATATACGAATCAGAAAATGCCAAATCTTCTAAAAAGCCGACTGAAACCTAAACTTCGAAATTTCTAAAACGGCGGGAAGGAAAAATGTCTGACCGGAACTCGAAAACGAGACGGTTTCTGAATTAGGATCAAGATCCTCCGTATAGCTCCTGTGCAGCAGATTCTCACTATCCATTTCCTTCTCAACCGTTCGCATATCGAACAACATTGGGAGCTCTGCGTCCGTCTCGTCTGTAAACATTCCAGATATTCTAACGAAGAACAAGCTAAGTACGATCCCGTCGGTTCTTTCTCCGAAACTCAGGTCCGAATCTGAGCATTGATCAAACACCTTACGTTTAGACGAACAAGCTAAAACCTCAGGTCAGAAACAAAATCACACAGTAACTTCGCTCCTCTTCTATACATTGACAAAACCAACAGATCTGACTAAAACGCAACGAGTCGAATACAAGAGAGATAATTACAACCATAGACTAATTACTTCACATGAATCATAGCAATCGAAGAACAGTGATTACCATTTCTCGACGCCGGCGATGCTCCGGTGAAGATTCGATCGGAAAATTGTATATACAGTCTTGAGCAGTGAAGAGCAAGAAAATGGGAATGGAGAGCTGAAGAGTTTGCAAGGGAGATTTACAGAAGAACTGGTTTTCTGTGAGTCTTCTTTGCATAGGTTTTTGCAGTATCTCGCTAACTCAGCACTCCACAGCTTCGCCCCCCATGTGGCCGTTCAAGTAATTTAAAAATAATAATTAAAAAAAAAAAAACTGATTTTGAATTATTTCACTAAATTTATTAGCTCTGCACTCCATTGAATCAATTAATTTTATTTATATTTTATATGTTTAACGAAATTCATATAATTTATCCGTTGGAATAAGTATTATATAATTATGGTTCAATTTATTGAGAAGGATAATTAGTGTCGTTGAGTTGATTACTAGATTTATATAAATTAAGAATGAATTTCAAAATTTGAAGTTATTAATAATATAATAATGAAAGAGAGAGGTAAATTATTGGGAAGAAATTCAAACTTGGAAACGAAATGATTCTCAAATTTAAACGTGGGCCGTTGGATTCCTCGGGTGAAGCAAATTTGTTGATCGGACGAACGGTGGATGTTTTGTCCGAATATTTTTGAATTAATGGGCCCTAAAGTGGGCCTCGAGAATCGTGTGGTTTTCAAATTGGGTCTTTGCCTCCTTCATCCACCACGTGGACCCCACTCCTGAATTATGGAAGCTTTGAGTTTCAATGATTGGCTCTCCAATTCTTTTTATATTTTATATTTAATATATTTGAGAAAATGCTTCAAGTTTAAAGTTAAAAAATCCTATTATAATTATTTTATTCTTAATTACAAACCTACAATTATTCAGAAAAAAATATATTAACTTAGCATAGGGAAGTTTTGAGTAAATCGAGAAGGAAAACGGGTGCTTCGAGAACTGCACGATCAACCCATTTTTCTATTAGAATTGTACATCTTGTAATAGGATTTTGTTTTGTATTTAATATTGGTATTGTTTACTTTCACTTAGTTTAAATTTTAGTCTGAGTTTCGAAACTTCAAAAATCGGGCCATAACAAATTGGTATGAACCCTTATTATAGCCGAACTTCACCTCAACATTTCAAAATTTTCGATATTTCTATAGAGATCATAAAATTGAAACGACAAAATATTACTACAAAAATTGCAATAATAAATGAACCGAGACAAAGTCTATAAAGTTGAATAAGAAAGGAGCATGCATTGTTCATTCCAGCATCCTAAAAATTATTATTCATTTAATTTAAATTTGAAAGTCAATGAATTGGAAAAGGAAGGTTGTTCTTGTGCTACTAGCCAAAACTGCAGTGGCAGTGTACCAAAAAGCTTAAGAAAGAGCTAAATGGCAATAATAAGATGGAATCAAAGAAAAAGGGGATGTGAGAAGGAGAAAGAAGGTCTTATCTACTTCCAAACTCGACAGCAGATCAAGCATCGTCGCCATCGCTTCCTCCTGCAAGCTGCGGATCATGGCTTGCTAAGTAGCTGTTTCCATCAGGACCCAACACCTTCAACCTGCAAAGTTTTTCCCAAAGACCAAAAAGAAGTCAAGAACTGTGTTCATGGCGATACAAAGGTGGAATCTTCACATAATTTACAGAGATTGATGGATCATAATGTTATCTAAATTTGATATTTGATGACTATCAACAACGTAATCGATGCATTAACGTTTAAACATTGATTCAAAGATTTATAATATAAAAACTACAAAGTATATTGTCAACATGAATATAGTAATCCTCTTTGGGCTTTCCCTTTCGGGCTTCCCCTCAAAACATAGGAAGAGGTTTCTACATCCTTATAAGGAATGTTTCGTTCACCTCTCCAACCAATGTGGGATTTCACAATTCATCCCCTTGAGGACCGAATGTCCTCGCTAGCTCTGATACCATTTGTAATAGCCGAAGCTCACCGCTAGCAGATATTGTCCTCTTTGGTTTTCCCTTTCAGGTTTCTCCTCAAAGTTTTAAAACTAGTAAGAGGTTTCCACATCTTTATAATAAATGTTTTGTTGCCATCTCCAATTTATGTGGGATCTCACAAATATAGTTCAATTGATTTAAGCATATATCCCTGAAAGAGATTAGAGGTTTGAACTCTCGAACTCGAACTAAAAAACGCTATCAAGTATAGTGGCCTCACATTTCAAGGATATATTTCCCTTCCTTGTACTTTTGGGATTTGTCATGTGCAATCTCCTGGAATCGATAGAGGTATCAGTAAAAGGTTTGAAAATCAAAAGGTAAAAAAAGAAAGCAAGAAAGAAACAGAAGATCTTACATATTTCCAACCAAGAATTGAGCCACAACCAACACAAAATATGTCAACAACAGTGTGCAATCCTGTGATCAACATCCGCTTTTCTAGTTCTCCAACTGTGACATTGACACTGCGATGCATTATAGAAATCAAAAAAGTTGGTGGAAAGTTTAATGAGTATGACAATATCCTGTATGCAACAATGTAAGGGCAGCTATGAACTATCCAATTTAATTCCTATGTGGGTATCATCCACAAGAATCCAGAAACAAAATATAATGGGTGAAGCACAGGCAGTAGATACCAGCATCATTTTTTTGTTCGACAGATCGTGCTTCTACGATCGACAATGAACTAATACTGTTAATTAGCTCATAGCATGTCGGGCTGCGGTTAGTTAAGTTTACAATAAACTACTAAGAATGACCAGTATCCCATTCCAACAGGAAAGGCTTAAATGAGAACAGGACAACGGAACAACAGAAGCATGAATCATAGAAAACGAAGTACGCATCCGAAGAAGTAGGCAAATAATTCGATGAACAAAAGCAGCAGTATATTCTCGTTCCAGCTTAAGCACCTGATCTACCATAAACATTAAACATTTTGTTTTTCACTTGGAAATAGGACTATTATATAAACGTCCAGGATTCCAGTGAATCAAGATGCCAAATGTTATGCTTCTTTTAAAATGATGATCCTAATTTTCATAGAGAAAAAAAATGAAAGAATACAAAAGGTAAAAAAAAAAATAATAATAAAGCCCCAAAACAAAAGGAGTCGAACTGAAACAAGGGGCTCCAATCAAGTAAAGACCTAAAGGATAACTACAGAAAGCGGAGGACCAAAGCATAAACTGACAAGAGGCCTTAAAACTCCCAATGTTATCATAAACACCAAAGAGTAGACTCACATGTTATTAAACAAGTACGCCTTCCCATGCCTGCAATGAAAAGTCTGAAACAAAAGCAAAGCAGAATTCTGTTAGTATATCCATGTATCTTTCTGATACTATAATATGCATGTGTAAAAAAAAGATTAAGGATGCAAATATGTGAGATCCCACATCGATTAGTGAGGAGAGCGAGTGCCAGTGAGGACACTAGCCTTGAAGGGGGTGGATTATGAGATCTCAAATCAGTTGGAGAGGGGAACAAATCATTATTTATAAGGGTGTGAAAACCTCTCCCTAGTAAACACGTTTTAAAAACTTCAAAGGAAAACCCGAAAGGGAAAGCTCAAAGAGGACAATATCTTCTAGCAGTGAGCTTGGGCCGCTACAAAATATAAAAGTAAAAGTTCTCGAGACCGAATTTTGTTGTTATTATTATGATGTAGTTGTGAGATTGAAAAAGCATAGCATCTATCATGAATGTCAAGTGTGGGATTCACTGATATAGGTAGGGCCTTTAGCATCTCAAAATAAGGAGCAATCTAGTGCTCGACATAAAGATACCAATGCTGAAATCAGCAAACCATTTTATACAATAAAAACAAGTTCTAAAAGCACATCAGCAGCCGCATAAAGATTCTAATACATGTGAATTAGAAAAAGCCACAAACGACCAAACATATTCAATAGAAAAAAGTCTAAAATTTTTACCACTCATATAAGAAAAATTACTTGGAATCTACAAGAAATTATATGGGTGGATGGAGTCATCTTCAGGAAAAGGGAGTATTGTAAAGGGCAGTCGTACGAATACTGAAATGAGAATGCAATTAGAATTCCTATTTATTAGAAACCACGACTCTCCACAATGGTATGATATCGTCCACTCTGAGCATAAACTTTAATGGCTTTGCTTTTGGTTTCTCCAAAAGCCTCATACCAATGGAGATGTATTCCTTACTTATAAACTTTTATCAACCCCTTAATTAGCTAATGTGGGACCCCTCCCAACAATCTTCAACACTGTTAGCACTATTCATGCACCTAATACTTCTGATAAGTATGATAAAATCGATCACCATATGCGCAACAAATCCTATCGTTAAATGTACAAGGCAAATCTGTGATGTTCTAAATCACTCGATGAATGCAGAATTAATTGAAGAAAGAAACAGAACAACCCAGGCAGCAAATTAAGCACTACAAGCAAAAGACTAAGACAGGATTAAGGATTAAGGATTAAACAAAGAACAATTTTCTGATAGTTCCTAGTTTATAAACGTAAGCTAAAAGGTATAAGGAGCATTCAAAAGCGAGGAATCAAAATTCTCAAAACGGATGCGTGGTCCAAAGCATTGAATCAATCTTTTAGAGCATTAAAGACTCTTTTTCCTATAGATACCGATTTCCTTTTACCAAAATAAACACTCGAAACAAACAGTTTACTCACTGGTTAGCCTCCATCAAACACAACTCAATAACAATATCAACACAATAGAACAAAATATCAGCAAAAAGATCAAATGTGCTACTCAAATGTGCATGTGGAATAGAGTAATTGAATTAGATACCCTTGAAATTATGTCTTTCTGAAGGGCGAGATGAGTTTTACAGTGTTTGCAACTATAAAAATTTCCTTCCAGAGTTGTCAAAAGTAGCCTTCCCATCTCTTCTCCTTGCAGCAATATCTCTACCAATCAGCTTCTGTTCGAAGAGAAACAAGTATACAAGAATCGGAAAAACAAAGAAAAATTACTAGCAATCGATCTACTGAAGAAGAACAATAATAACAAGACAAAGATCGGCATGATCAACCTTACAAAGAAAATTCTGGGAAGGCTGAAACTGAGGAAAAAGAGGAAGTGGAATCGGAATCCGATGATCGTCGCTGGTCACAAATGGATTCAACGAGTAATCGAGAAAAAAATAATTCGATCAATACCAGTTTCCATGAAGTCGAAAACGACGTACGAAC